CTGCCCCTCTCCCCCCCTCTCGCCCTGCCTCCCCCCCTCTCTCTCGCCCTGCCTCCTCCAGTGCGTTCCCCGTCTTCTTCCAAGCAGGACTGACCACACACTTCTCTCAGGTTGTATTCAGCTAAACTGTACAAAAGCTGCTTCTTTCTGTCTAAGTCTTCTCTGTGTTTGCTGTGCTGTGTTTCTCTTCCTGCGTCTTTGTCGTGTTTATGAGCTGGACCACCTCAGGTCGCCTTGTCTGTGCCACCCTCGCTGCCGATTCACGGACAGAGATTACACGTCTGGGCTCGAACAGGAGTCAGCGCTCTTCTGTTGTGATTAGTGCTGGGTAGGAATTGAACACATCAGGCTGGGCCTTTAAACATTTGACGATGCCATCTCTGACTTCTGGTAACAAAACTTCTACTTTAGTTCCATATTTTTTGACAAAACTTTTTATTGAACTGATTTAATTTCATTGAGGTCAGATAAACCGATAAAAGTGTCAAAAATCTGTCCAATTTCAGATTTTTATTTGACCAAACGTAAAGACACCCTTTTACAGAATAGCAGCATTAAAACCACCTTCAGTCCCTGGAACCTGGTGAGTTCCTGCTTGCGGCTTCAGTGCTGGAGCTCGGATGCTGCGACCCAGTAGTGTTCCAGTTCAGCTGGTTGATACTTCACTGGCTGAAGCAGGGCCTGTTTCTCTGCTGTGCTGTGGATTCGCCTTCAGATGGGCTCTGGACATGTGCTGTCAGCTGCAGCTCTCAGATTCAGTTTCAGAACTTGAGCAGTGAGAAACTTTGGGGATTTTTCAGATTCAGTCAGAAGGTCACTCGGTGAGTTACTCCAACACTAGGATGGCTCCTCCTGAATCCCGTCCTCACCAGAACATTACCCCGCTACAGAGCAGCAGTTACAGTCGCCCTCTCATTCTCTCCTACAGCTCAGTGTCACTGTTGACCCACCCGGTCTGACGTGGAGCGACGTCGCTGCTCCTCACTAGTTGTCTGTCCACCTGTGTTTTACAGCTCAGTGAGAAGCCACATCTGCTGCTGTTTGTCAAACCAACAATAGCGTCTTAATTAGTGAGCAGCCGCGGCATCTGTGTGCTCTCTGATAGCGCTGTTTGGTTGTCTACTCAATCAGCAGACGGCGATAAGGCTGATGGGGCGGGAGTTTGGTCACTGATCTAAAGACTCGGGTAGTTTTTGGTTGCAGGACGAAGCACTGCTCAGACTTTATCAGTGAACTTTATTAAAAACTGTTTTGAAGTTGGTGTTTGTTATAGCTGTGACAAAAACCACACGTCGCTTGTTCTGTGTACATAAATGAGCAACAAATGAGAGAAGCCTCCTGACTGAGTGGAGAGCCAGCCAGTGGGGTCACTGATCAATCAGCTGATCATCGTCCTGATGATCCGATTGATCTGTTTATCCCCAGAATGTCAGACACTGGGAAAAAGTCCCACTGTGACTCTCCAGAGCCAAAGGTGGCGTCTCCACACGTCTTGTTGTGTCCAACCAGCAGATCCACAGAGACTCAGCTGATTCTCATGTCTGACAAAGAAAAGCATCAGCTCCTCACATTAAAGAAGGTGGAACCAGAACATGTCGGTGACTGTTGCTTCTAAGTAGCTGCTGGTTCATTTTCTACCAGTGAACTGACTCATGGCTGCAGCTGTAGGTCACTGAATGGCTTCATGAGGACGACACAGCAGGTCGGACACAGCGAGGGAATCTGGTTTGGAAGGAGGCGGTTTCCTCCTCCAACAGAGGAGACTTGATGCTGCTCTGGAGACTCAGCCCTGCTGGGCGCTGGGTGGTGGTTTGTCCTCAAATCTGTCACCTACTGTGCTACAAACAGCTGCGTGACCTTTTCCTCTGTGGTACTTTGTGGTGTTGTGCTCTGCTAAGCACCAGGTCACCTGGTTGTGAGCGGCACCGTAAGCTGTGTGACGTCAGCCGCCCTCTGATTGTCACATTGCCTGTGACTGGCTGCTGCTCAGAGGTACCAGGTGAGGCTGTGGAGTGAAGGTGAGGAGGGAGCTCTATAACCAGAGCAGGTTGTGTGCCACTAATCTGCTGCTGCTCTTTGGTCGGAGCAGCGCGGGTACCCGAAGTCCTGCTCGCATTGCATCCTGCCGCTCTGCTGCTGTCTCTTGACCCAGTGCTCCTGAACATCCAGCAGGGCTCAGGCTAATTACAGTGAGCTCCAGGGAAACGAACCTCATAGTCATAATGGAAACCTACTTTATTATAGGTGATGTCCCATATTGAATCAAACAAGTGAAATGTTTACTGCAGCCAGTTGAAACCTGGCAACCGTCACCTGATCATGTCAGCAGTGATAAAACTGGTTGTTAAAGTGAGGCTGGAAACACCTGAAGGTTATTAAAGCTAGCAAAGACAAGACAGACTTTGAGACTTGGGAGGTAGAGAGAGGTATACACTGAACAAGTGAGTGTGTAGTATTTCACAAAGCACTTTCTTCACCAGCTGATCAAAGCAGAAATTGTGTGACGAGGTACGTGACCCGACAGTCGGCCTTGGCACGCTTATCGGCCTTGTGAGACAGAAGTCAGAGCTGTTTAGCATCTATGAGAAACAATCTGGGTTCATATGTAGAAGCTGTGCTGGAAACGCAGAGTGAAGGACACAATGTGCACGTGTCGCTGTGTACACTTGTGAAGTGGCAGAATTTCAGTTAATTGAAGCTAATTCTTTCTTAACATCTGATAATATGAAGCAGTAGCTTCACACATGTTCCACATCATTTCCTGCAGGAGAGAGCATTTGTGCTTGAGTTAGGTTTTGTTACCGATGCAGCACGTTGCTGCCTGTACACATCTGGCAGCGATGGTCTCCTGTCTGGTGGAGACTGACTGACTGTTTTTTGTGTGCGCGCCGAATGGCACACTCCTCGAGTACTGATGTGCAAATGTGGACTGACTTCACATGCACGTTGGAGGTCTGCTGTGTCTTGTAGAGACTCCTACGGCCGTCACATGGCTGTTTCATGTCCTGAGAGGACTGTGAGGACATTGTCTGTCCCAGCAAACTGAAGCTGTGAGTGATGGTCAGACAGACCCAGAGACACTGGGAGATGTGCCCTCTGACTGTGGCGCAGTTTACCGACATGCCACAGCAGCTCTAGATGAGAGAAGTGATGTAGTGTGACAGTCGGTGCTGTTGGCGTTGGATCAGGGAATCCACAGTCACAGGCTAATTACTGGTGTAGTGTTTGTTTTGGGAGGGCGGGAAGCCAGCAGGGAGCCGTGGCATTAATTACTGTTGTTGTCTGTGCAACGGTGGTGGTGACAGCTTCCTGTTGTTGTGCTGCTCCCCCACGAAGAAACCCCCGCACTTCCTCTCACCATTTCATAATTCATGTTCCAGGCAGGTCAGAGCAGCGATTGGAGGCCTGCGTGACACGAGCAGCTCCACACCAAGACAGAGCTTAATGTGACACTTCACAACCAGGACAACGCAAATAAAAGGCCTGTTTGTTTTCATGACAGGGAGCAGTGACACCTTGCAATTCAGTGGCACCGTGGTCACACCGCCGGTGGTTGAGTCGTGTCAGGCAGCTGAGAACATGCTCGCAGGTGGAGGAGAGCTCAGTCTGAGCTGCAGCTTTAGCTCAGGTTTCACCTTCTGTGTGATTCACTTTAAATGTTCCCAAATCAGGTCTGCAGGCTTTAGACTGAATTCTCCCCAGTCTTATCAGCTCTTTGAGCTCCCTCCTTTGGCTCGGACCTGCCTGCAGTAGCAGGACGTCCGAACAGTTTACCAACGTGACGAGATGGTGACAAGTGGAGCCGCTGTCAAGATGCTGCTGGTTCAGTTATCACAGCCAGCGAAGGAGTTTACTGGCACAGGACAGCGGCTTTATCATCTGTGGAGCACACAACAGGGTTTTTATCATCACCCAACCCTTTGTTCAGTAGAAGTCAAACTAAACAGGCTTCCCTGTTCTCTTCTGATCTCCACATTAGAGATTTCTCCAGATTCTCAGAATCGTTTCATGATAATTTTACATTTTCTAACTGTCAAACCTCACTCTGGCCCTGCTGCCGGCCGGCTCGGCCTCTCTGTTCTGTTTCTACCTCACCAGGACTGAAATGGTTAATCCGTCATTCGCATCATGCCAAGTGATTAAATATGTGCCACTAGGCGTTAACCTGTCAGTGATAAATGATTAATTCATGTTCTTAATAAGTCACTGTAGGGCTTTTCATCCCCCTGGGTTTCGCCTGACAGTGCGCGAAGCAGCAGAAAGCCTGAACCGTTGGCTCCACTTTGACACTTATGTGCTTCTCTTCACCAGCTGTGAGCTTCTGTTGGAGGTTTCTCACTTCTCTGACTCGTAAATACACCTAGTGCTGCTCCTGTGTGTGGGGTGGTCCAGCTGTCCTGCAGCTCTGACTCTGTTGCCACCAACAGACGTAGCTCGTTGTGATGATGCTGATACTCCGCCTTCCTGCTCAGTGTGTACTGAAGTAGCTCTGCACTGCAGGCTAACTGCTTTCTGCATCCCACAGAGGAGCGTTTCAGGAGTCTCTCCCCTCTCTGCGTCCAACATGGACACGTTTTTCCGTCGTCACTTCAGGAGGAAGGAAGCTGCCCTGCAGGTGGATGCCGAGGCCACATCCTGCTGCCAGCGGAGGCCCAGTGTGGCCATCCCCAGCAGTAAGGTCCGACGCAGGTCTACTGTTGGGTTCCCTTCCTCTACCCTGGTCCAGCGGCGCCGCTCCAGCGTCCAGCTGCAGGAGGGGCCGCCGTGTGCAGGAGGGACATGTTTGGCGAAGACATCCAGGCACACTGCTTGGGCAAGGCACACCCGCAGGCGTTCCAGCACCACCACCCCCAGCCTCAATCCGAGGTTTGCCGTGCGCCAGAAGAAGGTGGGGAAGCTGCGGACCATTGACACCCACCTACTGGGGCCATCCATGCTGCTGGCCAGTCTGATCCAGATGACTGAGGAGGAGGAAGAGGGGCCGGGGGTGGGGCTACCCACTGGAGAACAGCAGGTGGAGGTGAGTGGTGGAGCCAACAATGGGAGAATGTTTTCACGCTCCAGCAGCCTTCACTCAAATGGAGAAGATAACAGCAGCGGCGATGCCACGGGAAATGACAGCCAATCAGAAGGCAGCCAGCTGTCGGAGGCGGAGCCACTGGCTGAGGGGGTGTCATGCTCCTCCTTGGCCCCTGATCAGCACCCCTTCTCCTCCTCCTGTTCCTCCTCCACCCAGGATGTGATGAAAAACACTCCTCAGCTTCCTTCGTTGTCACGGCCCCTGATCCGGGCCCTCCGCTGCCTCCGCAGGAACTCCTCTCAGGTGTTCGCAGGAGACGCCGCTCCTTACAGCCGCTATCGTGCTTCCAGCAAGAGGAGGAGGATCTCCACCATCTCCAAAGCTGGAAGCCCCTGGCCAGAAAGAGGCCCCCCGCTGCCCAGCCGCAAGACTTCAGTGTACTACTCCACCCACCCGGCCTTCTACAGGGGCCCTGGACCCCTCAGTCCACTGGGGGCCCACAGCTACGACCACCACCTGAGTACCTTCTTGCTGTATGTATTGCGGTAGCAGTTAGTGAGCTTGTCCTAGTGTTCCTAGGTTTTACACACAGTGTGTGGGTGGGGTGTAAAAATGAAAAGGTCAGTAGTACCTGTGGGCGTTTTTAATTTTGCAGGCAACACACACACACACACACACACACACACACAGAGTTAATGACACACCCTGAAGCACACAGGGAGCATGAAAAGTGCTCAACATAAATAAAGCATACGATGATTCCTGGTCTCATCCGGAGATTCTGCTGCAGACACAAACATCCTCCGTGGAGCTGCAGCTAGTTAGCAGCTCACACTGAACATGAGCAGAAAGACAAGTCAGGAAATGTGCGGCACGTAAACTGAAAGACATGAATATTGTTTCACTCTGAAACAATAGATTCTCGAACCACTGACACTGAGCTTCAGCTGTTTAAAGTGTCTCTGTCGACAATACCGGCCTGGATTTGACTTGGTATCTGATTGGAAAGGAAATGAGTGGTATCACATCACTAAACCAAGTATCCTTTCTGTAGATTAGGTGTGTACGTGCAGTGAGAGTGAAAGCTGAGCCTGGCCAGGGACCTGTAGCTGTGAAGGAATCAGCATAACTTTACAGTCATAACAAGGGAAGCATCCCTTGTTATGACTGTAAATGCACTTTGCACAACTCAAACTCCTCAAAACTGATTTTCTCCCAGTTGCACCACAGACACTTTTCTTAAAAGGTCACGTGTCCTCTTGTGGTTTCAGGAAAGCCATGGCAAAGTCGGGCCTCCAGCACATGGCGACTCAGCCGAGCGTGTCGACGCCTGGACAGAGCGATCCGCTGCAGGAGCCCAGCAGCTCGGTGGACTGGAGCGTGAGTCACTTTCCAAACTGAGCAGCTACTGCAGCAGCCAAAGAACATTCAGCATGAAATGATTTAGTGATGAAACTTGGCTTAAAGGTGGGAGGTTTGTCTTTGTCAGAGTCAGGGACTGTACAGTCTGTTGTGTCTTAAAAGTGAAGAATAAATATGAAGCAAACGTCAACATCGCTAACAAACAACGACACCCTGCTGTGGTGCCAGTGCACGCTCGCCCTCCTGCAAACCACGGCTACTGATCTGCTGGGAAAGAAATGTTTGCCAAAGAGAAATAAAATGTGAAGCTTAGAAGGTAAGTTTCAGGAGAAGCTGCTGTTGGTGCAGACGCACGAATTAGAGCAAAAGGTTGAGAGTGCATGTGAAGTTCTGGCCGACTTCCGAGGGTCACAGTGCAAGTTTGTTCATGAAACACTTGTGCTCTGTCGCCCCCTGATCCAGCAACAACTGTTGTTGGTCCAGTTCTAGAAATAACAGCATTAGCTCCTCAGTCCAACAGCCACACCTGAACAGAAGACAAAGACGATGTCAAATTGGATAACTAGAAGAAATATGGGGATGATACTTAACAATCTCTGATGTACCGGTGAACAGTAAAGTCACCATTAAAACCAAAATAGATCATGGGCCAACCTGGACACATGAATACAAAGATACTTTGGTACAGACACATGTAGAAATACAGCAACCTAATGAGTCGAACACTGTTGACACCCCTTCAGTTGATTTAAAGGTTCTGTTGCTGTGGATTGAACGTGTCTCCTGCTTTCTGTGCTGCAGGACAACGCCCAGTTCGGGGACCACATCTGGTTCGAGACCAGTGGCTCTGGAGACTTCTGTTACGTTGGCGAGCAGTACTGCATGGCCAAGTCTCTGGTGAGTTATACATGTCGCCGTTCTGGTCAGGTGTCAAGCCTGCTGGAGGATGTCGCTGGTCAGAGTGTGCACCTCACGTGACACTTTCAGTTTCTGATAGAACTCAGAAGCAGCTGTAGGGTGGTGCCACATCCCTGAAGACCTCCACCTACTTTCTAAAATATTTTGACCATCCTCTGTTCAGCAAAAATTAAACCCACATGAATACATATTCCTGCCCCGTAATAAAATGGCAATTGTGAGGTTTTACTGTGACACATCTGTTATGTTTTGCAGCAAAAGTCAGTGGTGAGGAAGAAGTGTGCTGGCTGTAAGATATCGGTCCACACCATGTGCATGGAGCAGCTGCAGAAGGTAAACTCTGCATCATCTCTGCATTACCAGCTTTCACCGGAGATTGTTTCCTCACAGCCTCCTTTGCTTGTGTTCAGATTAACTTCAGGTGCAAGCCGTCCTTCAGGGAGCCAGGATCTCGAGCCGTTCGAGAGGTCAGTGTCTGCTCACTGGAGGTTGCACTGGTGTCAAGAGTGTGAAACCAGTGCAGGAAGTCCTTTCTCTTGTGAAACCAGTGCAGGAAGTCCTTTCTCTTGTGGACACAGAGTTTCTGTCGGTTGTTGATACATGTTTGTGTTTCAGTCCAACATTGTACGACACCACTGGGTCCACAGGAGGCGTCAGACAGGGAAGTGTCGGCAGTGTGGGAAGGTGAGCCTCCATCAGCCCTCCTTATCAAAGCTGTGTTCACTTAGAGGGTCCAGACTCTGACAGTCTCACTGTCTCACCAACAGGGATTCCAGCAGAAGTTTTCATTTCACAGCAAAGAGATTGTTGCCATCAGCTGCTCGTGGTGCAAACAGGCGGTAAGTGTCACAGTCCGGGATGCAGGTGACGGCCTCTGGCGCTCAGAGACCTGGATCAGAACCAGCTCTACTGGCCGACTATCTTTGCACATACAAGGACTGTGACTCCTGTTTCCGGTGAATGTGCTCACACTTTCACACAGCACCAGTAAGAAATGGGAAAGCAAAGATTAACAGGAACATGTAACTGTTATGTACATGCAACAGTGGATACATAGACACGACATGCACATCCAACGGGCCTCGTGCAAGAATTGGCCAGACAAACAGATTTGTTCCTTAGTAGCACATGTGAGAGATTGTTGGAGAGGCGGCAGAACACGGAGGTGGGGGGCGACCTAACTGATCTGTATGAACACGGTGTGCATCTGGATGTGGGTCTCTGCTAAAACCACTTGTACGAGGGCTTTAAGAATATTTTTGTGCTCGCTAGTTTTTTGTCCGAGGTATGAATGAACTCTAGGAGCGGTACAGACCTGTGGGCTGAGATGGACAGACACAGACAGCCTTTCTTCACAGGGACATGCTGGTTTGGCTTATGAATTACAGTGGCTACATCTGAAAGAATCTGGAGTTTAAATACAATACAGACATTCATTCAGTTAGTAAATAGTCCGGTGTCGGTAGGAAGCTGGTGCAGGAGCCGTGGCCGCCTCAGGGTTTGGTTCTTTGTTCTGGATGTGCAGGACTGTAAAACACTGTTGACATGTTGAAATTCTGTCGTGTCACTTCTGGTTTTCTCTGCAAACTGCTGCAGATGTTCATGCAGCTGTCAGGTGACTTCCTTCCGTGTGTGTGTGTGTGTGTGTGTGTCAGTATCACAACAAGGTGACGTGCTTCATGCTGCAACAGATAGAGGAGTGCTGCTCTCTGGGAGTGCACGCGGCTGTCATCATCCCTCCCACCTGGATCATCAGGGCCCGCAGACCACAGGTAAACACACACTACCTGGACACATATGAATATCTTAGAGAACTGCATGTGTTCTCCAGACAGAACTTTGTGAGGATCCACTGGGCTCGCTGATCGTCAGGAGCAGAAGAAGCGTGCCAACATTTGCATCTAGTGTCTGCGTCCCACTGTGCAGGTGTCAGGTCGTCTTCTGCACAGCATGACACACATCCAGCTGCTGATACTCTTGTGTTTGTCATCCTGCAGTCTCTAAAGTCCAGTAAAAAGAAGAAGAGAACGTCGCTGAAATGCAAGTCGAGCAAGAAGGGAGCTGAGGTGAGGTCGAGACCTGCTGCTTTCAAACTGAGGAGCACATGCAGTGCTGGCTGCTGTGTTGCTTTACACCACTAGTCCTTTACCAGCAGAGTTCAGAAACTGTAGTCGTCCTGAGTCTGTGCAGCAGCTCTAACAGAAGCAGAACATCCTTTGTGTTGAGGTTGAGTCAGGACCATGTGTCATGATACAGAGTCGCCACACGCCTAACATGTCGGCCTGCCGGTTTCTGTTGTGTCTCAGCTCCAAGATGGCCGCTGGAAGCCCTTCATGGTGAAGCCTCTGCCCTCTCAGCTCATGAAGCCTCTGTTGGTGTTTGTCAACCCCAAGAGCGGCGGTAACCAGGTAGGTGAACATTCCTGCAAACGTACATAAACATAACGTGCGAGCATGAAGACCTTCCAGGTAGAAAGAAGTAGGTGGGAGACAAAAGAGCAAATAAAAAAATCACACATGCACATTTTTAAATGTACGTCTTTCTAAAGTGTAAAGCTGATTTCTACTCAGTCTGGTGTTTGAAGGTCACAAGCTGCTAATCCCTGGACATAGGAACACAGCGTGACCTGTGCACTGAAATCCTGGTCTACATGGCCAATGTCACAGATTTTATTTCAGACCAAGCATAACACTTCCACAAAGAACCAAAGTGTCTTAGCTTCTAAAACTTCTCAGTAGCCTAACATCTGAAGGTATAAGGAGGGAGCTTCCAATAAACGCAGGTTGTTATTATTTTGGGAGGACTCGGGGGCTTGTCCTGGGTTAACATATAAGAGGGAGGTCTGCAGGGAACTCTGTTTGCAGGTTCATGGTTGTTACTGAGTGAAAACCTCGAGCAGTGTTGGAATCTTTAATAGGTTTGAAATGTGCCACAGAGTGAGAGGTTAAGCTGTGTCCCTGTGTCCTGAGAGGTTAAGCTGTGTCCCTGTGTCCAGGGGTTGGCAGATCGTGGCCTTCAGACACTGGTCCAGTAACGCAGAAGGAAGTCATTGTTTGATCCAGGTTTTCTCTAAAGTAAAAGAAAAACTAAAGCTTAACCAAGTGATTGTCTCCAGTCCAGAGACCAGGTTTACGTACTGTAGCCTTTCATTGTCTTAATCCATACTGCCTTTATTCCACTTTTATTTTGAGCTGAAGAAACATTAATAAAAGCCGCTTGTCTGTGCATGAGCTGCAGCTCGTTAGTTTAAAAAGTGAAAGCTGTGCATTGCAGCTTGAAGGTCACGTCTTCCTCAGAACATTTTATCTTGAACTGTTCAAGATAAACGTTATGGTTACAGTGGAAGAGCAAAGCAGCAAACTCTCGTACTTGAAGCTGGAACCACAGAACGTCTTGGATTTTTGCTTGAGGAACAAAAAACAAGTGATTGACTAAATGGCTCCACAGGTCAGGGACACTCACAGATACTGGGCTATAACGACTCAGTCATTAGGGGACGTTGTTGGCTTTCAAAGGACTGAAACACCACTGAGGGGGATAAATATCTCCGGCTCAACACCAGTCGGGCAGAAATGATGAAACCTCTTGGATGAGAGGTGAAACGTCTTCGACCTACTTCAGCTTACTATGACCTGGATGACGGAGAATCTGCACGGCCTGAATGGCTTTACATGTTCTGTAGATTGACTGATCACTCCAGCTGCTCTGTGCTCATGCTGTTTCTTGGCTTGTCTTTCTGTGGATGACTGCAGCTCCAGGACCTATCTAAAACATCTCTGAGAGAAATGAAACCAGGCTATCTGTGGCCATGACAGATGAGATCTGTTGCTTGCTCTGTCCACACGTGACCTGAATCCACTGGGGTGAGACAGATGTTGGTCCCAGAGGATGTGTAGCCGCTGTTTTACAGAACAGCAAACATATTTTAGCTGTAATGCAACTAACTGACACAAGTGTGGTTGGGCTGGGTCTGCACAGGGATGCGAAAAGAACCATCAGACCAGTTTGTTTCTGTGTTTGCTTTGTCCTTGTTTTTGAAATGACAGCACAGTGTTCATGTTCTTGCCTTTCAGGGAGCCAGGATAATCCAGTCCTTCATGTGGTACCTGAACCCTCGGCAGGTGTTCGACCTGATGAAGGGGGGGCCCAGAGAGGGGTAAGACTTGACCTGGTACTGACGCTTCGCTTGCTGAGCAGCGAGTATCGAACGGGTCTATGGGACATGAGCACACCAGTTTATTAGGAGCATTAGTGACGGGATGCTGCCCTGATTAGACTGATGCAACCTCAGCTCAGGACTTTTAGTGGAGCGTTTACCCTACGCAATACTTTTAAGTAAAATGTCTGAATTCTCATTTACTCATTGCCTCTGTTCTCACATCTTTTCCTGCATCTCATCCTCACTTCTTCAGAGGAAGGGATGACACAAGTGTAGGAAACAAGGATGCTGTCAAGGGGACTGCACCCCTGTACAGACCTACTGAGCTGCCTCTCCTGCCCAGTCCTGCTTGTGTCATCCACAGATCCTCCAGTTCTCCTGCTGTCTTTAGAAGAGTGTGTCTGTTTTGCTTTGTGTTTGCTGCAGGCTGGAGTTGTACGGCAAAGTGCCCAACCTGCGGATCCTGGCCTGTGGCGGAGACGGGACGGTGAGTCCAACACCGGACACCACAAATACAACCGGCGCTGCGTTTATAGCTGATCTCACATAGCAAAATTATTTCTACCATTGTTGACTAAGCTCTGTGCTGCATCCTGAAACCTCTACACCACCGTCATTTTACTCAGTTGTGTTTTTAAAACTGTTCTGTCTTTTAAAAAAAATCCTTGGTACTTGTTCAATCAGCAGCAGACGGCAAACTGTGCAGTGACTCTAGACTTTGAAAGTCTACATGTGTTGTGATCTATGAGGAGCAGCGTGTTCACTGTGTGTGTGTTCAGGTGGGATGGATCCTGTCGGTGCTGGACCAGCTGAAGCTTCATCCTCAGCCCCCGGTGGCCATCCTTCCTCTGGGCACCGGCAATGACCTGGCCAGGACTCTCAACTGGGGAGGGGTGAGTTGGCTGGAGCTGGACGGGAGCTGACTACTGCTGCTTCTCACAGTGGTGAACGCAGTGCAACATAAATAGTATCAGCAAATGTCCACAAGTATGAAAAGTCAAAGTGTGAAGCCCTTGTCGGATTGTTAGGATGCAGTTTGTCTTGTCATGTTAGTGCTGATGCATCAGAGTGTAGGTAATAGTATAAGTTGCAGCTGGTTGTCACTGTACTTTGTGTACTGTCTGGTAGTGTAATCCGCAACTGTGCACCATGTTTTGCTTGTAAAATGAGTCTCTGCATAGTGATCCGTAACCACAGCTGACAGTTTGATGAACAGCTACAGCACAGGCAGCATCTCGTCTGTTTCCGGCTTCTCCTTCCCCGTTTGTCTTGTCGGCCTCTCCGCCACCAGCTGTCCAGCAAAGGCAAAAAGCCAGAGATAATCAGATAAATAAAAAAGCACAGTATTTTTCCAGGCATCTCGGTGCGATCACTGTCTGCTTTTCAAGACCTGAGAACAAGAAACATTATCAAACGCGTGGCAGAGACACAGACGGTCGTCAAGTCCACTTCAGACACACAACATCGGTTAAAAACAGTCAGATGAATTTTATGAAATGTCACATAATAAAACTTTAAAATTGCCAAAAAAATGAAGGAATTCCTACTCGCTGAAATTCCATTTAAACGAGTCAGAATCAGCTTTACTGGTTAGGTTTGTTGGACCCACCAGGAGTTTGACTCCAGTACAGTGGCTCTCGGTGTGTATGTACAGCATTGTTCCATAAGGCGAGTGAACAAGATAAGACGGAGAACAAGAAAAGAAAGATGATGTGCTAACAAGAGAAAGGGACATGCATTAAGAAAAAATAAAGTACATATAAGTATAGAAATACACACACACCTACACACAGGTTGGAGCTTTTCAGATGGATGGATACAAAGCTATATTCATAAGTAAATGGTAAATGGACTGTATTTATATAGCACATATTTCACAGTGTGTTACACTGGCCAAAGCGCTTTACAAGAGATCATTCACACACACATTCACATACACATTCACACACCGATGACAAGAGGGTGCGTCTTTGCCGAGGTGAGAACGTACACATGGGACGTCTCAGGGTAGGTAGTTACTGGATTGTGTATTGTAGCTAGAAGATTGATGTGAGGAAGCTGCGGCAGTATGGCCTTAGCCGTCTGTCCTGGTAGCAAAAGCGCTGAGACACTGCAGAGCCCCGTTGTTGGCCAGGATCAGTATGACCCCGGCTGTGGTCCTGTCTCAGGGCTACACCGATGAACCCATGTCAAAGATCCTGTCACACATCGAGGATGGAAACATCGTTCAGCTCGACCGATGGAACCTGAACGTGGAGGCGAACCCCGATGCCCGGCTGGAGGACGGGGATGAGCATCAGACCAACAAGGTCCGTTTAACACATTCTACTCTGATCACTGAGCTGCAGTGTAAATCCAGTCTGCTGACCCGGGCCTCTGCTCTTCCCCAGCTTCCTATTGACGTCTTCAACAACTACTTCAGCCTGGGCTTCGATGCTCACGTCACACTGGGTTTCCATGAATCCAGAGGTCAGTCCACACACACACACACACACACACACACACTGTACATGGCTGAGCTGGGGCTGCCAAATTCATACTGCAGAGAGAGAAGCGATGTTTGGAGTGTGAACTTCTCTGTTGACTCACTCTGAAGTAGTGACGTTATCTTCCACAGTTACAGTGAGACGTTTACTCCTGTTACTCCGAGGTAAAGTAACTTGGCTCTGTGAGCTGTCTGAACATTTGGGTTTACAGATGAGCTGGGATCTTTTAATTTTTCCTAGTATTATTCATAAATGTGGAGAGTTTCATCATCTCTTAGTTGAACCCCAAGAGTCAAGGTGATGTACAAGAGAATGGTGCAGGAGGTGATGTGCAGAGCTTTGGCTTTTAGACGCTACTCCTGCTCCGTTGGCTCTGTGTGTATCGAGCTCCTTCGCTCCACTGCTCGCTGACCTGACCGCCCTAATCAGGACACATGCGCCTGATTAAACTGAAGTCCAAGAATCTGGACATGTGAGCAGGCTCCATTTGGGTGTCCACGTCCTCCTCTGGTCGTCGGGTTTAGGTCGAGGCGGCAGGTTATCCCTCAGTATTTGGAGTCACTAATGGCTTTAATGCAAACCCAGAGCCGGCGTGTCCTGAACAGGGTTTTCTTGTTGCTGTCTTTCAGAGGCGAACCCCGAGAAGTTTAACAGCCGCTTCAGGAACAAAATGTTCTATGCAGGGGTGAGTGTCCTCGTTGCTCCGCTCCGTTTCACACAGTCACACATCACTGTTGTCTAACACCAATGGATTTGTGTTGCAGACGGCCTTCTCAGATTTCCTGAGCGGGAGCTCGAAAGACCTTGCCAAGCACATCAAGGTGGTGGTGAGTAGAGAAGCATCCTGCAGAGCGAGGGCGATGCAGCTGGCGTGTCACCAGGCTCGTCCCCTTTATTGTCTGATTATGTGTCATGGAGCTGAGGAACGCTGTGAGCATTGTGTCTGTGTTTGAGCAGTGTCGCTCAGTTACATCAGGCACAGACAGGGACAGCGTTGACTCCAGGCTGGTGTCTCCATATTGTTTTCTTTGGATGGTCAGGGATCAGTGAGACATCAGCTGTGGAGAGGAAGGCGTTTTAAGGCCTGGGGTGTGGACGTAGACGTAACTACAGGCTAAAGTCGTACGTATATAGGGCAAAAACTGGAGATTGTATCAGAAGTTGGAGCCAAGTTTTCTTTTGTTCACAGAAATTAGACTGAAGCTAAGAGTGTTCTGTTCTCTGAATAAAATGAGAACAATGATGGTGATGCTTCTCTTGACTAGCTCACTGTGTGCTCGGTCACAGCTTCTGTGCTTCTTCCCTCCTCAGTGTGACAGCACAGACCTGACTGCAAAAGTACAGGAGATGAAGTTGCAGTGTCTGCTCTTCCTCAACATCCCCAGGTACGGTGAGCCACGAAGAACAAAACTGTCAGGTGACCTCATGTTTAAAAAGGTTATTTTAAAGTGGCCTAGAGCAGTCTCTTTGTACAGGTCATCCACACAGGTTTGGTTTGTCCTGCTCGGCCAGCAGAGAGTGAACCGCGGCACTCCACGTTGTATTTGTTTGTGTTGGTTCTGGATCTGGGTGTGTTGCTCTGTCTGCACCCACCTGCCGTCAGTAACGTGTGTGTGTGTGTGTGTGTGTGTGCGCTCAGGTACTGTGCGGGCACCACACCATGGGGCCATCCCAGCGAGCATCAGGACTTTGAACCTCAGCGTCACGACGACGGCTGCATCGAGGTTATCGGCTTCACGATGACTTCTCTGGTGAGTTCTCAGCCACACGCTGTAATACATAGTATATCACACGTGTACACCAGAGATACCAGAGCACACAGCAGCCTCTTGTCTAACCCGTTTGCTTCCAGGCCACGCTGCAGGTGGGTGGTCATGGCGAGCGTCTCCACCAGTGCAGAGAAGTGATCCTCACCACATATAAGCCCATCCCCATGCAGGTGGACGGAGAGCCCTGCAAGCTGGCACCGTCCATCATCCACATCACCCTGAGGAACCAGGCCAACATGGTGCAGAAGACCAAGAGGAGGATCTGTATGCCCCCCCTCAACGAGTAAGATACTCTGTCTGACTGAGGATCAAGCCACCAAACTGAGCCGGGCTTCAGTCCTGCTCTGTTCAAGATGAAGTAATGTTGTCATGGTAGCACCGAAGGTGTCTGCTTTGTAAACCACTTGTCCTGTGTTCTCCGCTGAGGAAGAACTACAGGGGGTTTAACAGAGCGGGAAACTACACCCGATGCATGTTTGCTAAAACCAGTTCAGTTCAAAATGAGCGGACGCCTGGTAGCGCATGTTCATGGTTGCAGTCTGCCATGTGTGTGTCATGTGCGAATGTGGAGCTAATTTTTAATCCGCTACATAAATACAAACTGCACAGGCACATAAGATAAGATGAACCTTTATTAGTCCCATGATGGGGAAAGTCACAAAGCTACAGCAGCAAAGGGACAGAAACAAGGCGCTCAGCGGTAAAAGCAGAAAGAGTAACAAACAAGATGGTATCAGTACTGACTAATAAAACTACCATGTGGGTCTCCTGGGAGCAGAGCTGGCTGTGCATAGACAGTGACACCAGTGTTGCAGCTGGTGTCGCTGTACATGCTGGTAAAAAGCAGGTATCCCAGTGACTTAAGATGCTGCTGCCACCAGTATTCACAAATTCTGCCCAGGACACACAGCTGCACCTCACGTTTGGTCACTTTGGCTTCTGACGTGAACAGACACCGACATTTGTTTTTGGCTATAAAAAGTGACATCTGAGTGGGATTTCAGTTGGACCTGAAGGCTGCGACACCTCTGACCTCTTGAAGAGCAGTACATATGTGGCCATATGCAGAAGAAAATGATGCACCAAAGTCTCTTCTGCACTGAGAGCAGTTGTGAGAACAGGCACCGCCACTACATCAACAGGTTATTCAGACTTTGGGCTTTCAGATAGCTTTGTTACAGAAACAGGTCCGAGGTCAAGGCAGAGATATTTAATTTGAGGCAGTAAATTTGTGTTTTTCCTTCATGAATCTGAGGCAGAAGGTATTTGTCACTTTTGCATTGCCATTAAAACTTTGTCAGATTTCAGGTTTTGTCCTTGACCTGTTTCCAGAAGTGGTCACAGACCACCAGCAGGAGGCAGCACAAGCATCCAGCGGTCTGTGCTGTGTCCTGATCCGGTGTCTGTGTTTGAGTTCACTCACACTGGGTCTGTGTGTCTGTGTGCAGCCAGCAGCCCGTTCCTGAGAAGCTGCAGATCAGAGTGAACAGGATCAGCATGGCGGCGTACGAGGCTCTGCACTACAACAAGGACCAGCTGAAGGAGGCCTGTGAGTGTCACTGTGGCTGGATCGATGAATTCCTCGGGGTCTAATCAGTCAGTCCCACAGGGAACATTTACAGTCATTCCCAGACACCTCAACTGAGTTCTGTCAGTGTCCTGATTAAGTTCCCATCTTTGTTATTAGTAACGACTCAGGTGTGAGACTGTCGTCAGTCATCACTGACATCTAATGTACAGGCTTCATTTATAATCCAACCCGAACTGGTTTGAACTGGACAAATGAAGCTCACCAGAGTGTCAGCTTCTCTGTTATAAAGGAGCACAGACACTGGTGGTGGTCTCTTAGTAGTAGTGGTCAGTTCAAGTCTCACTGTTTGTGCAGCGACACCGCTCGGAGTGATCACCGTCCCTGGAGACAGCGACCTGGAGACCTGCCGTCTGCTGATCGAGCGCCTGCAGGACGACTTAGACCAGGTACTGGCTGGGTCCTCCAGACTCCAGTGTTATTCCACCTGATGTTTCTCAGACATGAGTGGTTTCAGGCTTCAGCTTCTTCTTGTTCTCTCAGGACTGTGACACGACGAAGGGAGGGTGTCCATCTTCACAGAAACTCTCCATGAAGTGGTGCTTCCTCGACTGTAAGCCCAGATCAATGTGCAGCATCTCAGCACACCGTCCTGCTCACACAGAGAACCTGATGTTGTTTCTGTGGTTTTCAGGTACGACTGCAGACCGCTTCTACAGGATCGACCGCGCTCAGGTACGACAGCAGCACAGGTTTGAACTGACGGGAGGAAAAGAAGTGATCTGTACTGCTGCACCCAGGCAGGAAAGACTAAAGCTGCATGGGAACTAGCCGAACGCTTAAAATGCAGGAAACACGCCGGTGTCAGCAGGACCAGGACGTTTTTGTCTATTTAATTGCTGTCATCGTATTAAAATGGAGTAAAATAAAGAAATACAGCTGGTCACTGCCAATACTTTTTCACTCATGTCATCCCTGATCAGGTTTCAGCAAATATGATGAGAAAATAAAAGAAGTGTTCAGACCCGTTGATGTACACAGAACCTGAAGTCCTGATGTCTCCAGGTGACTTCCTGTGTTGTTTTTTTGTTTGTTTGTTTGTTTTTTTCTTCCAGGAGCACCTGAACTATGTTACGGAGATCTCTCAGGAGGAGCTGTACATCCTGGACCCGGAGCTAGTCCTCAAGGAGACCGTGGGCACCTCCCCCGGCATGCCTGACCTGGTGGACTCTGAGGAGCACCAGGACCAAGAGAGAGAGTTCGCGTTGCCTGGCTCCCCGTCCTCCCTCACCTCCTCAGCCACACCCAGGTGAGAGGCAGCCTGGGCCGGTCATTAGCTGTTACACAGGGAAACTAAGGATCGACAGCTGATCAGACAGTTTATGTGTAGGTACAAAGTTCAGACAAGATGTGGGCCCGCTGCGTCTCTGTACACGTCAGCAGTATAAGTTTAAGTTTTGAATGCAGCCAGCACAGCAGAAATGAGTCCTGCTGCTGTTTCCATGGAGCTGCACCTTTGTCCTTGTGTGGAGGAGGTCTCAGTCCTGGCGACTGCTGCCTCCTTGCTTACTGAAGTGAGATCAGAGTCTGGGTGCAGAGGAACAACAGGTCTGTGTGTGAGTTTCAGGCCGAGAGACTGTCAGAGGAGGCGGATCTGCAGTGACAGTTCAGTGACTGATCCTTTATCCCAGAGCCCTAAGACCGCCCTGTGCAGGTAGCCACACACACGCACTTTGCCACTTAGGACACTGCACTAGCTTCCATTCATTCCCTGATTGATGTTTTGTATAGGTGGTTCAGAAAAGCGGGGCTTGTTGTGACTAAATCAAGTCTGGTTTATTTCATCAAGCAGTCCACAGTGATGGCAACACACAGCTGTCAAACAAACCTATGTTCACAGCCACACAGCAGCGCAAAGAGTTGCAGCAACATCGTGGCAGCTATTAAAATAAAAAGAACCTTTGGCTTAGCCTTTACTCAACTTGATTGAAACCTCTGACGCCACTATCACTGACTTTGACACAGAACTGGTTCAGACTTGTGGCTCCAGAGTTCTCCATCTGGTGCGGCACCCGGTTGACCGACAGTTCAGATATTAATTTGTTGGGTTACCTAATGTTCATCAAAACTAGCTGTTTTGATGAAATGGTGTATGTGCAGCGGTTGCCAGGGACCATCTACAAAGTGTAAGACTGAAAAGAGGCTTCGCTCTGAGGCGAAGTGTTGTGGCATAACCAGCAGTTGGTTGTATGTCCAGTGATTTTGGTGACACTACCCCAAGAGTGAATATTTCTGTAGTACCTCTTTTCAGTGTTGCACTTTGTAGATGGCCCCTCCGCCCTGTGGTCAGTGGGGCTGAAGATCACTCACAGGTTTTTATCTTGGGTGGAGCGTTTTCCAGACTGTGCACATAAATGGTGTGTCTGCTCAGGGGTCCTTTCCAACATGGCCCTGTAGTGTTCAAAGAGAAAACACAACATGAAACTAAACAGTAAACTCCTAAAAAGAACAAACGAACCCCCACACAGAAAAGTACAAGGACAGTGTAATGGTTCGGGTAAACAAATGTGGCGGCTTCATCACCATCGTCTGCAGGGGACTGAATGAACTGTTCTGTCTCATCATCATGTGTTTAAATATCAGACAGCTGTTGGTGTGTTGCTGGTGCTTTGTCTGACAGGCGTGTCAGACGTTGTGTAGCTTCAACACAAGTTGACATGCTGCCTCCCAGACGTCAGCTGAGCCCTCACCTATCCATCTCACCCTGCTTTTTCTTGTCTGTGGTTGAAGGAGGGGAGCAAAGATTCTCAACGTGCATCGCTCCAACGTGGCCCTGGCTGATTTCAGACCCGTGATTAGGTAGGACTCTCTCTGTGTGTGAGCGGCTGGTCTGCTTCATTCTGTTGTTCTTCCTGTTTACATCTGATGGCTCTTCTTCTGTCTCTGATCTCCTTCCAGTGCTACCTCACACAACCCGGAAGAAGGTAAAGTTTCTGGAAACTAACCTGTGACTACTCGCATATAAATGCAGAAGCAGAGGAAACACTTCAGTGCAAACAGCAGAGACAGAGGCTGAGTTTTCCTTTTAGACGCTCGTGTTTTTAGGAAGTTGAACTGCTCAGTGACTGTGTTGTTCTGTTTTATAGAAGCAGAGTTGATCGACTGCATCAAATCCGCAGACATGAACAGAGTGAGTCTGTAACCTGCTCTCTGACTAGTGTTGTCGTCTTCAGAGGGACGATAAGGGACGATGGCCCGTCTCACTCTGAAATTACTGAGTGCACGCGCTAAGAACTGAGCAGTAATAAGTGAAGTGGCTGCCGTTTGTTTTCACTTTGCTCTGCCTGGAACTGGAGAGTGGCCTGTAGAAAGTGTGAGGACGCACTTCAGACTGGATGGTACAGTAAACCGATCTCTCTACACCAGCCTGCCGAATGGACTCACACTGGCCTCATATTATCCTCTGATGACATCTTATGTAGTATAATGTGGCTGGTGTTTGTACTGGACTCACTGGGAACTGTGGTCCCAATTCTGTTCCTCCAAAACGGGACTTTTGTTCTTTAATCTTATTTGACCTGATGCCATCAAGTAAACCTGACTTAAGGTCTTCAGCCACTGAAATCAGTATGACAGTTTTATCCTGCCTCGGTTTTGCCTTTAAATGTTGTGGACACAAAAATCCATGGAATGACCCATAAAAAAAGTTCATTAAATATAAAGTAAATAATTTCATTGTTCCCTTTAAAAGGAGTAGATAAAATGGAAAAAGACGATGAGAAATGAAATGTCCATCCATCCATTTTCCTCCACTTATCTGGGACTGGGTCGCGGGGGCAGCAGTCTAAGCAAAGATGCCCAGACTTCCCTCTCTCCAGAC